CGCATCGCCCCCCCCCCGCTGCCCCCTTGGCCACGCCATCCCTCCGCTGACAGCCCTGTCACCAATACTACCTGTGATCCTGCTTCCTCCCGTCACGGAACCCTCAACTCCTTCCGCGGCCGTCTCCCCTGCCGCTCCATGTTCCATCGCTGCCGTCACACGCGCCTCCCCTGTGGAGCCTGCCACCCCAGCCCTTTACCGCCGCCTCCCTCAGATGTCGAGGCCGGTGCTGACGGCGCGTGCTATTTTGAACCTCCGCCCGAGCCCGCCAGGGGCGGCACAGGGTGAGGCCGACCGTGAAACATTGCCTCCGGGCAGGCGAGGAGCGAAGGCACCACGGCCAGCGTACGGCACTCGACCTTCACTGCACGTGACGTGGCGGCGCTGCGGCTGTGTGGGGTTTCTGCACGGGATAAGCATCAATATAGCACATTACATAGGCTAAAATGACATTATTACCGGGAGAGGTGACACAGTTGCTGCATCAGTTGTCCCTGCAGTGCTTCCGACCGGGAGGTCCAAGGTTCGAGGTGGTGAGATTTTCGAAACTAGCAGGGGTTTTTGACTCTAGCTAGGTCGAATTCACTAGCTGTCTGTGGGAGGATTCCAGTATCATCGTTATTTTAACGTGGTTTCTCACCAGTGAATGTCGGAACAGTACTCTAACAAACGGGCCACGGACCGCGCGCCATCTTTATTACCTCTTCCTTGCTCTATTCTCACCCTCCACTTACACACACTTATACTAACATGCGCTACTCAACTACACATGCCGGGATATCGGTTGGGAGCTTGGAGCTTGTCCCGGCTGGCGCAGTGTCCCGCTGGTGGGAGATACCTGGTTGGGGGAAAACCTCGCTTGCCGACAGTAGGACGGCACCGGATGACACCATCGAGTGGGGTAATATCCCCACCACCTCACGAGGGACACACATGCACTACACTTACGGGACAAACGGCCTTCGTAGCGGATGCGCTAATCACTAATAAATCAAAAAAATCATTAACCGATTCGTGTTACCGATTCTTTTTCAATTGCCATCGGATTGGTAAAGGCTATAAACTGCGCAGCATATACAGAACTAACGTAGTGCCATGTTTGCTACACATCTTGTACCCTGTCTGTACTCCTTTTTCCTCGGATTGTGATTTCCCGCGCTGACCTACACGTCGACTTCCTTGCTTTCCCTTCCAGTTATCTCACCACGCGGGACATTGCCACAGAGACCGAGACATACTCGGACTGTTCGACGTGTCTCTCGACATGTGTGGTAATGGAGTGCATGTACGTATGTGTGTGTCTGCGTATATCTCTAAGGGGAAAGGTGGAGACGAACGTAAGAAAGGAAAGATGTCGCACGTTTCGCAGCGGGTTTTTAGGAAACTTCTCCGGCATTGTTGACTAACAGTTGCTATGGAGTTGGTCTTAAAAACAATTGATCCCATGGAGTATATAGAGCCATATAAACATTGCACAACTAAAAATACAAAAATTAAAAAAATGTGTGTAGTCTAACGTGTGTATCGTATGTTATTCACATCTGAAATGAGTACTTTCAGATAATAGTAACCTTTTTTCATAATTTTAAGAATAAAACGTATTTCGAGTTTTTTTTCTCAAATCGCAAAAGCACACTTAGCCCACTTTGAAATTAGCCTTCCGAATTTATTACTTATATTTCTGATTTTCTTCCCATCACGCATTTCATTTGCTTATTTAATGAATGGCTAGGATGCATTTAGATTTTATTTCCAAAGTATGGGAAAGAATTGTCTCACATTACATTGAAATTGAGGGGAAAAATATTTGAATGATTGCGTTTAATTTCAAAGTCAAATTTGAAGTGAAAAATAAGTTTTATTGGTGAACACTAATAGAGGAGTTCACGATAGCCAATGTATGGAACGTAGTATAACATCAATTTGAAAAGGATAAAAAGGAGTTTTGTTTTCAAATCTGGGCATATTTTCTATAGAGTAGAATCTCCATTTTTCAGGGAGTGGAAGGTTCATGGAAAATTGAAAACCCTGGATTATATTCATATATTTTTACTGTTTCCAGGGACTTCCTTAAAAAGTAAATGAAGAGGAAATGTGTAAAAAAATATATTTTAGTTTACGTATTTCATTGTAGTACACACATATTAAAAAGTTCTCATTCATTTATATTATATTACAGTTTTAATTGCACAAATAACTTGCACATTTGCACTAATTGCACTTTTTTAAATTTTATATCTTTTATATATTATATGATCAATATGATGACTATACGATCAATTCAAAAATCGTACCCAATTCATTTGATTAATTAATTAATTAATTAACTCATATAAATGTTGCAGGTTAGAATTATGTCACCGACATCTATAATTCATTTAACCATTGTCATTATGAAACAGACTTCGGATAATTGCAATCTTGGATAATAAAATACTACATAATGTAGGTTCTCCTGAACCTTAACAAAAATAAGTGTTTGGCAGCGTTTTATTGTATAATTAACCAATAATGTAATTTGTTGGTATCTGTGGACATATAATTTATTTTGTTATCTTGATCAGTTGAGTAAAATTGATGCCTTGCTCAGAATTTATTGGCTCTGGAAAGGGAAGTGGAGTGAATTAGGGTCGTTAGGTCGAAGGGCATTAGGTCTAGTGACAAAAGATTCGTTTTAGTCTAATGATAGGAAGTCCACGAAAATGCGTCCAATACAAATTTGGTATAATTACTAAGTTGTTTAAATAAAATTTGATTCAATGGTCAAAAATGCATATAAAATTTGGTTCAACAGACACAAATGAGCAATTAATTTTGGTCTGACAGAAACGAATAACACAGTGTTGTCGTTATGTCAGCATACCGTTATGTCAAGTTATCGTTTTGTCAGTATATTATTTTGCCCAAAATGAAACTACATATAGAGTTTAAGCTTTAATTCTATAAGTGTATAAAATAAAGAATAAGAAAAAGATGTTGAAACGGTCAGTAATCACGTTCATATATTGGCGGGGCCTGGGATTTTTAATCTGTAGCTCAAAACCTCAGGTATACCTCTATAGTATCTTTTGCAATTTTTGTAATTCCCCACTACAAGCTCTCCTTGCCTTCGATTTTTTAATAGGATTTAGTATTTGGATGTCGTACATTCACATGTCCCGCCAACAACTGAGCGATAAGGACTTTGTTATTTCTCTGATCCATTTCTGTTTTCTAAATATATTTACATATGGAGGCATAATAAGAGACGCTATTGAAGTTTGTAAACCGAGGAGACAGTCGAGGTTTATAACCAACTAAGTCTGTTATTTGTGATATCGGCCGTGTGTCGTTCAATACATTTCGTAATATCATCTTCTTATAAGAAAAAAAAGTCATTTTCTGAAACTTGAAATTTGACTTGATATACCTATTACGTATTAGATATTTCTATACCAATTGGAATTCCTTTAGGTAGCACCTATTATGTTTTCGGTGTGTAGTATTAGACCTGTGTTTAGACCTGTGTAATTGGACCTTTTAATTTTAAACCTCCGGTTTTATGGGACCATCTGTCGCATGAGACCCACTTCGCATTAGACCTCCTGTCACACTCGACCTACTGAGTACTAGACCTTTTGCCCGTGGACCTAATGCCCTGCAACCGTCGGGTGAAGTGTGTGCAGCCGTTGAGACTTATGGTTGTGCGGCGCCAGAGCCCCAGCTGCGGCTGCAGCTGCAACGACGGCTCAATCCGGCAAGCAGGCCTCGTTCTCACACGCGGCCCCTGCAACGAAGAGACCAAACACTCGCCTCGGTACGATTATCCATTCTTCTCCCTTATATACACATCCTTCTCTAACTTACAATGTTTCTGTCTCTGGATAAAATCTCAATTTGAACTATGGAAAATTCTTAATATTAACTACGGACAAAGATGGATTTCTTCTCGATCTTTCCTCAGATCTGTTATAACCAATTGCATTTGCCAGAGCATATGTTGTAGTCATAGAAGAATGGTTCCCAATGCTTACTGAGAAATATAAGTATGAAATAATCATAATAATAATAATAGTAATAATAATAATAATAATAGTAATAATAATAAATACAACAATTTTGTGCAAACTATTATAGAGGCACCGACAGTCTCAACCCAGAGTAGATTTTGTATTAAACTCTCTAGAACATCTTCATTCTCACTTAACTAACTATAACAACTACCTCGTACCCATCTCTTCATTTCACTGCAAGTCCCTTCGGAACCCAGTAATTTATGCATTAACATGCGAAACCCGGCAGACGTTGTTCTGCCCCTCATCTCCCTCTTTCTCCTTCCCTCTCCCTTTCTCTCTCTCTCTCTCTCTCTCTCTTCGTCTCTCTCTCTTCGCCTCTCTCTCTTCGTCTCTCTCTCTTCGTCTCTCTCTCTTAGTCTCTCTTCGTCTCTCTCTCTCTCTCTCTTGAGAGAGAGAGAGAGAGAAAGAGAGAGAGAGAGAGAAAGAGAGAGAGAGAGAGCGCGAAAAGAAGAGGAAGAAGAAGAAGAAATATATGTACATTCTCAAGGCAGGAACTTTACCCGTACTTTTGTTGGTCTTTCCTTAATGCTGAAAAACGTCACTGCACTCCACATTAC